TGTAAACACCGATGTCTAAATTAGATCATCCCTACTAAACTACTTATTACACGTTAATTAGAAAATCTAAGGAAATAGTGGTTACTACATCATCAGTACCCACCCTAAGTTCCAAGCCCCCACCTGTACGTTAGCGGCGCGCGCGCAGGTCATAGGTGGTTGTGGCCAGGTCGCTCGTAACTTCACCCGTCGCCCGGCGCCGCCCGCGACTCTTGCGCAACCAGCCAATTTATGCACATACTGATTATTAACTACAAGTACTGTCACATACATACTACTACATAAAGTAATAAATAATTTAATTGATATAAATTAAGTAGTGATTAAAAGAAACTGACATTTGGCCCGCGTCCAATATAATGTTTAATAGATATTTAATAGAATGAGTCCAAGAACATTAAAATTAATTGACACCTTTTTTGTGCAACAGCGACATCTATAGAGCCTATTAAACACAATTACTGTTAACCCGGTCATAAGTTTTAATGTCATTGTTTGCCCAAATAAAAATTAAAAAAGGAATAGTAGATGATCGTGTTGCCAGTTTAAAAATGCATTGCTGTATAAATGTTGCTAGTATAGAAAAATCAGTGAAACATTTCTATACATGCTTGTACTAAGAATAAAACGTATGACGCAATTAATATAACCCATGCGACGGCAACGATTCCCCACGCTTTTATCTAGGCAATTAATTTAAATATCATATTGAATCATTGGACGACAATTTACTTTAATTACTTTAAACGTTTTAAATATGTTGGCGTCGAAGAAGCTTATCTATTGCAGCTGTCCGTTACTGTCCTTTGCTGGACTCTACGACAAATGGAAAGGAGATTTGATATTGTTTTCTAGCTTTGAAATTAAGATGAGAAAATTGTAGGTTTAAAAAAATTCTTAAGATAGAAAAATTATGAAAGGACTATTATGACTATGAACACCGTTGTTAAGCAAAGGATTTTCTGTTTCATTTCCAATATAACAATTTGTTTTGCATTTTTACTTTCAAGCAACCAAAACAAGACATTGTGTGCATTTTCATGTTAATAAATAAATATGGTTAGAGTTACAACCTAACTTCATCGTCGTCAAACAATATTACAACAATGTACTTATAAGTATTTATTATTATCTTTTTCTTTTAAATTAGCGATGTCATCACCAAAATAATGTTACATTTGCCAAAGAGAAATAAGACTTATGCACCTTTGTTTAAGGGCTAATGTCGCTTGTGGTATATTTATGTAGAATAACACTGCGCACAAGCAATATAATTCGCATCACGCACGCAGCACGTTCAAAGATGGCATTGTTTCAGTTTAAATTCTTCATCTATGACGTGATCCTGCAATTGGTCAATTGTAGGGTCACCATCCGGGGATTTCCCGAAATACATATAATTTATTTAATAAAAAAAATATTTGGTGATTTCAACCATAGCATATATTTTTAATTAAACATGATGAAATATGATGTCTAAAATTAAATGAACTGTAATATAACTCAGAAATGATGATTATACTATAAGCTCACCTGGCCTTCCGTTGCTATGCTGAGTATGTTTATTACCTCTACATGACGTCATAATAATTTAGTCAAATTCCAATATTGTTCGTGTACCCAACAAAGTTGTAGGTCAAAATAGTTTTTGTAAATTGAAGACAGTCATAAGCTGTATAATTTCTTGGTCAAATGTTGCAGAACGTAATATTTCATAATATATAATAATACTCTTAAAACATCTTAGCATATTCAACTGACAATTTTTCAGAATAAGATTGTCTAGTTTCGAAATTACAAGGCCGACTCGGATATTACGCGGAGATTTGAATATGAAACTTTTAATGCTGAAAATATATTATTTTTACTCTCATGTTTTTAACGAAATATGCCAATTAATTTTGAATTTTGTTCCTAATAGATATATGCATGTTTTTGCAAAAATATTATTAAGTGATTTTTGCGTAATGAAAACTTGCATATTTCATGAAATTATATTTAAAAGGAAAATGACGATTTGCATATTTCTTTTTTATATACCTAATTAAGTTTTTCTTTACTCAAATACCGAATGCAACTAAATGTATGGTAACATAACATTATTAAATTCTTCTTTCCTATAATTTTCCTTTCCCAAAATCCTCATTGAAGCTGAAGTTCAGGAATAAGCAATCTCCCTATAATAAAAAACTACATACATACAAAAGCGATGTCGTGCACGCTGCTCTTATGACTCCCGGTATAACTAGAAACTAGTAGAGCTTTTCTCCATTACTTTACCTGACAAAGCTGTATATCATCATTCAGATCATTATCATATCAGCCATAGGACGTCTACTGCTGAACATAGGCGTCCCCTAATGACCAAATATATTGATATAGGTACCAAGCTGTATATCCAAATACCTAATTCAGTTAAATTAAAATTTAATTCAAATTATTAGTTATTATCCTTGAAATGATATCGGGACTGTCTCCCAAATAAAAACTCCATGGCGACAGTATCAGGTAGCTCGTTGATTGTCATTCATGCGACGATGCGGCGTTTTGCAACCATTTTGGTAATGTTAACGCGTGTTATGTGTATGTTTAGTTAACACTCGTTTTTCATGTTACTATGTACTTACTTATATATTATATGTGCAGTTTTATATATAAGTGTGGTATGTTCTTAGAGTATGGTTAATAGAAACTTGAAACCGTTATTAATTGTGGAGGAAAAATGTTCAGTTTGGTCACCTAATAGGTAGTCTGTTAACACTAGGTATAACTATGAAATACATGAACTGTTAAAATTTATTGTACTTACCTAAGAAGAAAAGGTTTTTCTTTACCATTGATATGTAGGAACAAAATAGTTAAACTGAACAATGTACAAATTTTACATTGTTACCGACGACGGTCATAAAACATGAATACCATTCCATCAACAACTAGTTCTAGCACATTATACACTTTGCAATCTTAAATCCAATCGCTCACTTTACAATCTTAACAATCTAATACTCATCTTGAAAAAACCAAAACAATAGACCACAACCTTACGTAAGAAAACCGAATAATCAAGGTCAAATGAAAACAAAACCATAGTTAAACGCGTGTAACAGACCGGAACCGAACCCGCGGCCCATATCCACGGGAAGTGACGTCTTAATCCGTGAACACGACATTAGTAAGGCAATGTTTTCACTATCGGAGTTACCCGGTCGGGCGGGTCCCAGCCGCCCGTGTAACACCTTCTTTAGGTCAAATACACGTACGTTTGTCCTGATAGTGAGTCTTGTTGAACTGTTTTGTCGCAATATCGCATATTTTCTTGTGAAAAACTTTTTTTATGGCATAAGCCGGTTAACGAGCAAACTGATCACCTGATGGTAAGCAATCGGCGTCGCCCATGGACACCTGGTACAGCAGAGGCGTTACAAGTGCGGTACCGGCCTTATGGGGATTAGGAGTTTGAAGATCATTGGGGATTCAGGAATTTGGGAGATTGGGGATAAGGAGTATAATTGGGCCTCCGGTAACCTCACTCACACGACGAAACACAACGCTAGCGTTGCTTCACGGCGGTTTTCTGTAAGGCCGTGGTATCATTCGGTCGAGCCGGCCCATTTGTGCCGAAGCATGGCTCTTAAACTTAAACTACTCAAAGGAGTTACATATGACAAAATTTTTTATTCAAGTTATATTCAAGCCCTTTGCAAACACATTTCACAAGCTTCACTCATGTTTTCATGCGGGTGTCCATAGGCGGCGCTGGTCGCTTACCATCAGGTGACGCGTCTGCTCGTTTTCCTCTTATTCCATAAAAAAACGTTTTTGAAAATTAATGAAACCAACAGTGATCGTACTTACGTCTAAGGAAGCATGTAGCTTTATTATTATTTGCATAAATAATGAAGTTGTATGTCTTCTCCAGTTAAAGGCGTTCCCTCTACAGGCTAAACTTGTCTGCTTCCTTCAATCGTGGCGCGACGAGTTTCTAACCATCCCACTTCTGACCTCAGTCATCTTTTTAGAAAATACAATTTTATGTGAAACTGCTAAGAGAAAAAAACAGCCTAAGATTAGGGTAGGCAGAGGTGCACATTACGGCACTTAATGCCACTGTGCAATGTAACACACTTAATTTTCACTATTTATGTTATGAGTCCCATGTAATAGGGGGCAAGTCTATTGCCATATACCGGACACAATTCCAGGCTCCGTGCTATTACTGAGACTTTTTTAAACTCAGTTAATAAATTGAACCCGAGACCCCTTGCCTGACAGTCACACTTGCACCCACTCGGCCATCGAGGCAAATTACAAAATAAATATTGCATTAAACGGACCAGTTCAAACTTGAGTATGTAGTAACAAATTGATTTTATAAACCAACATTACATAGTTCCCTGTATTACCCGCCTCGACCGATCAATAACAATCTTTATACGGCGATGTTAATAACTCTGTCTATTTAATTAGCGAGCTAAGCTAGCACCAACCTCCGACCTCTCATTTTCCATTTTATTCGTCACACACACTATAATTTCTGATCATCATATCAATTATACATATTCAATTGAGCATGCATATGCAAGTGACCAGGAGCTACTCGTTCTCTTGATTAAATTTATTTAAATGAAGCAATTGCTTTTCAAGTTGACAGATATTTACGGTCGATTAATTAAGTGTGACAAACAATCGCCAGTTATTTACTGTTAATTATTATGTTGGCAGTGCGAGATGTGTTACTTCATTACTAGGGTCTATGATTAGTGCTAGAATACCAGCTCTAGGAGGCGTTGCCTAACCGATCATACGTCTCGACTATTACAACAAATAGCTCTATAGAATCTTCAGTTGTATACATCGTCTTAACCAGATATCTGAGGTGTTATATCGCATCTGTCTGCTAAAAACTTATCTGTTCCCACTAATCGTTCTACAAAAGCCGCAAAAGTGTTAATGTCATTTCAAGTTTCGCAACAATTAACGTTATGTTTCTCTCTTTCCAGTCATTCTTCGGCCGCTCCTACAACAATCTGAACTCCATCACGGAGTGCAAGAACAACGGAGAATGTGTCATCAACAAGAAAAACCGGACGGCGTGCAAAGCGTGTCGACTGCGCAAGTGTCTGATGGTCGGCATGTCCAAGTCTGGCTCCCGCTATGGCCGCCGCTCCAACTGGTTCAAGATCCACTGCCTCTTACAAGAGCAACAGCAAGCTGCGCAGTCGCAGTCTCCTCCGAGAGTGCCGCCCTCCCCCCACCCGCTTGCTCCTCCTTTCCCACCTCATCTGTTCCCAGCGCTCGCTAGACCGAGAACTAAGGAAGAACTTGCTCTCCTCGGCTTAGACGACTACAAGCCTCCATGCTCGGCATCTCCAGACTCACACAAAAGCGGGTCATCGCCAAAATTAGATGAGAAATCTCGACTGACACAGTCGCGGCCACCAGAAAGACCGCTGACTCCGCCTCGAGATAGCTTTGTTCCACTCCACCTCGCCAACATCGCCTCCTTGCCCCACTTCCCCCACTCGCCCTTCTTACCACCGCCGCCGTTCAGCCCGTTCGCCCACAACCACCCTCTGTTATTCCCGCCAGGCTTCCACCCCTTATATTCACGACACCTCCTAGATCAGGCAGCGCTAAGACAAGCTGCTGAGAATAACAATGACGTCAGAATCGATGACCACAATGAGCGGACAGAGTCGTCGAAACGGTTCTTCCTAGACGAAATCTTAAAACAGCAACGGTCTACACAGCCGACTCCTCAGGAAGAGGTTATCTCTGAAGCTGAGTTCGTTCCCACACCGCCGGCTGAAAGGAGAACCTCAGAATCTCCGTTTCAGGAAAATCCTATGGACTTGTCTGTGAAATCTGACGGCAGGTCGAGTTCTGCGCGTCGGAGATCTGATGATAGTGAAGTGATAGTGCCAGACAATGAGGACGGAGAATCAGGCAGCGCAGCGGCGTCCGCGAGCGAGGAGGAGGACGTTTCATATTCACAAATAAAGAGGATCAAGCTGCACCCTCTGGACCTCACCACCAAAGTCTGACGTGAGACGCCGCGTCACCTAGTGCCCTTATATAGACTGTATTAAACGTCAGTGAAAGAATCAAAGGCCAGTATAGAGGAATGTGATTTTTGTTTAAGCTCAAACAGTCAATTGTTTGATTTGTTATCGCTTGAAAGAGTCTATCCAAATACGTATAATAAGTAATGTTTAGTGAATACAATGTTATTGGTACTTAACGAGCCCGGTTTGAGGTTATGTACAAAACGAATGTAAATAAATAAATTATTCTTTGACAATGTAAGTTAGGTTACTGTAGATAATGATTATGTTTTTGGAAATGGAGACAGCCGGGTGTTGCAGCATTCCATTCAGAATCGTACATATTTTTGTATAAATGTTTGAATATAATTTATTTCTAGTAGAATTTCGAAGTGTTGTTTGAGGTTGTAATGTGTTACTTCGGGTGCATTGTGAATCCTTTTTATATTCCTAAGTCTTCGTATTTCTATCGGTAGCTAAGTTCTATTATATAATCACGACTGTCGACTGTACTGTTACGTTCATACAAATACTCTTATTATCTCTTTTTGATTAATATATTGACAGTGTTGATAATATTTATGTAAAGTCTTTATTTCTCTTTTCATTTCTATGAGATACTAGAGAAAGAGATGGTAAGAGCCAAGGATATACTCGATTGTTACACGAACATTCCTAATTTTGCTCAATATTGTTGTTGTAATCTCCTAAACATTTCCATTTACTCAACGTAGTGAAATTATCGACACATTCATACTCAAATGTAATACTTTGACAAACGTGTTTTTTGTAAATATAAATATAGGTAGAGTGTTTTTTTATTTCATAAACAAATGTTTGTAATGAATACATTCCACGGAGACGTACAAAATAAACTATTCATGCACTCGGTTTTGGATTTTCTTTACCTATTATTAATATTCCCAATTTACTGGTATTACCGGAGAACTAAGAACGTTTTACTTATTTCACCCCTAGTAAACTTAACAGACGAAATAATTATTATACCTCTATTATGTAATCACTATTATTTATATTCAGATGCAAATACAGCAAGGTGTGGCTGCTATCCATCAATTCATAATTATAATATTTGCAATATAAAAAATAAACAAAATGTCAGCTAAGTATTTTACAAAAATGCAACTCATGCATTCACAAGTTAGCGTTTGAAATATTATTTCGAGGTTATAAAGGAATAGATGTGACTAACATAACTGTTTCTCGATAAGAAATGAAATCGTTCACACAACCACTCAACGCAAGCTAGAGTAGATAATATCAGGCGTTTAAATTAGTCATATAGCATTAATATCTGGGTTTACTACTAATTAATCACACCCAAGTCAAGTCGGGTGACTATACATTAAAATTTTCTTATGTTTGGCTGCATTAGAGAGATACTGATAAAACAGACTGTCTCGTTGGCCGAGTGGTCGCAAGTGCGACTGCAGGGCAAGGGGTCTCGGGTTCGATTCCCGGGTCGGGCAAAGTATTACTGGGTTTTTAAAAAATCTCAGTGGTAGCACGGAGTCTTGAAATATGCCCGGTATTTGGCAATAAGCTCACCCCCTATTACATGGGACTTATAACATAAATAGTGAAAAGTGGGTGTTACATTGTACAGTGGCATTAAGTGCCGAAATGTGCACCTCTGCCTACCCCTCGGGGATAAAAAGGCGTGATGTTATGTATGTTATGTATGATAAAACAGTGGGCCTTTGAATTGATGATGATGATGCACTTTTTATTGATGCAACTATTTACTAAATTGTTCAGTATAATATCTCTCAAATAAAGATCTCTTACATGACACGGCTAGTCTATGATTCCACCCTACCCGTACCTATACCCACGCTATTTCAAAATCAGACACATACGTGATTAAACATACGAAATTAGACACTAAAATATTAAAGGCGGCACTAAATAAACACATTAGTAATTGAAATTAGTGATTGAAGTAATAACGGTTGATATCATCAATTAGATGTTTATGTTTTACTGGGGTCAAAGGTATGAGATAATTCATAACATACATAACATCTTTTATCCCCGAAGGGGTGTGCACATTATGACACTTAATGCCATAGCAACACCCACTTTTCACTATTTATGTCATGAGTCCCATGGGGCCTATTGCCATATACCGGGCACAATTCGAGACTGCAGATTTTAAAAAAACTCCGTAATAATTAGTCCGACCCGGGAATCGAACTCGAGATTCTCTTGCCCGTGGTATGATATATAGGTATATATGTATCTGAAACTACGTCCATTATTAATAAAAATGACTCAATATTTTTCTGAAGAATTCTCATGAATTCTCATGAATTCTTCAGAAAATATGAATTTTCACTGGGTATTTTTAGAATTCTCTTTTTTTATATTTAGATCTAAGTTTGCCCACTATCTCGCATGGTGATAAGCGATGATGCGGCTAACGATGAAGCACGTCTTTTTTTTTTAATGGGACAAGCCCGCCACTATCTCCCAAAACCGCTGCAACTCCTGTAAGCCAGAAGATGAAGCACGTCTACTCACTCATAAGTAACCTACTCACTCGGGCCTTGAAGACACCTAAGTGTGGAAGAGCCATGCTTAGGCACGATTGGCCGGCTCGACCGGAGTGATACCACGGCCTCACAGAAAACCGACGTGAAGCAACGCTTGCGTTATATTTCGTCGTGTGAGTGAGGTTACCGGAGGCCCAATTACCCTCCCCTTCCCCAATCTCCCCAATCCCTGAATCCCCAACGATCCTCAAACTCTTAATCCCCAAAAAACTGGTAACGCACTTGTAACGCTTCTGGTGTTCCAGGTGTCCATGGGCGACGCTTACCCTCAGGTGATCCGTCTGCTTGTTTACCGGTTTATGCCATAAAAAAGGCACCCAGGTTATACCCCTCTCAGTTACAGTTAGAGCTTAGTCCATTTATTACACTTACTTCTTTCATTTCTGAATTGAGGATGTTATCCAACCCCACTATAAGCCAGAGTTTTTAAAAAAGAATCGTTTAACTCGTCGAGTACCGGTTTTGTAGACACAATTATAGAACAATAGGTTGCGGTCACCAGTGACCGCTTGGTGTTTGACAGTTTAATTAACTAAAATCACAGAAATAAACTAAACACGCTTTATAATAATTAGGACCCTGCCAAAACAAAGTCATTGGGGGACCGATGACTTAAATCGACTGGTCTATACTCTCCGGTAAACAGTTTGTGATTGATATTTTTTACAACGTTGCCCCCTTTTGCCTTTTTACCCGACGGAAGGAAGAGTATTGTCTCCTGTGTTTTGGCTGTGTAAAACACGAGTTCACAGTCCCATCACATACATACACTCAGACCCAAAGCAACAGTTTGTGGATCACACAAAGAGTAGCTCCGTGTGGGTATCGAATCCGCTTAACGTCTCGATACCTCATATCGAGAATCGATATGATGAAGATGAAGCTTAGTTTTAGAAACCATTTGGTGTATTCGAATATACATTTTTTTTTAATCACCGACTATTAACATTGCATAACACTAACCTCTAGTAATATTCAATAATATAAATCATTATAAATAGTACTTAGCTATTCAAGATTCACACTTAATAACTACCTACTTAGTTTTTGTACCGAAAATATAATAATTGCAGCTTTACAGATTATAGTTCTTAGACTCGCATGTTTGGTGACGTAATACATGCATAATAATGTAATTTATTATTAACTTGAAGGACCTGAAAAGGTTTACAAAACCAGTATTTAATACGAAGTGACTAGCTGAATTGAAATAAGCAACAAAAGTACTTACCGCATAATTAGTTACCACCTTGCATTATGTATTTGATAAAAAAAACTCAGTTTGCAACAGATATACTTATTGAAAACTGAGTTTTACTAACTCATCTACCTTATATAATGAAAATAAGATAAGTACTGAATACACCGATTGAATTGTACGCACATTTCTATAAAAAAAATCATAAACAAAAATATAAATCAAGTCCAAATCATTTATGTATGTATAATAATTTCACTACTTTTAAACTCAAATTAATCTCCAGCAGAATTGATCTCAGAACGTTGCTTACAGAAGCGCTAACAACTACTTAACCCACAAAATCACCTATCATTACTTTGATCAGATTTAAGAATATCAGTAAAGTAAACATAACTCAGTTGTACTTGAAACAAAAACTATTTGCTCAAAACTTGAGCCGCCATCATGCAGATAAAGAAATGACATTCGAGATTCGTAGAATATATTTATTATAATTTAGCAGTACGGAAAAGTAGAATATATTTGTCACCACCTCTATTCTTCCCGTGGGTGTCATATGAGCCAACAAAAGGACTACATCGGCGATCACGGGTAACTCGCCGCCCGACCAGAACCAGAACCGAGCAAACGGCGTGTCGCATTCCGCACGCGCCTTAAAAAGCAGCAGAAGAAACAGATTGGGCCCAATAGGGATGATACCGATACGGTGCCCTGGAGAACGTAATAGTTTGCTGAGGCTCCAGCTCGAAGTGCAGGATTAGAAACGGGGTGGTTTGTAAGAGTCTGACAATCCCTCTCACCTCACCCAGGCGAGAGAAGTCATTCGATGATGTTCCTTCCTTAAAAAAATCAGACCAGACAGCGCGTTCTCTTTTAAACCTAATCCTTTTGAACTCCGATCTCCAGCCCGCATGTAGCCAATGGCAAAACCTCTTTGGTAGACTCTCATGGGCTGTTCATCATAGATGACTTAAATTAAAAACTATTTGTATAAAACTTGAACCGATGGCATCATGGAAGCAAAGAAAACCTACTCGAAATTCATATGACCGTCTCTTTTAATGATATAGTATAGAGAAAAAATTGATCAAGTCAAATATTTGATAAACTGGTAAGTATATAGATATTGTTGTTGTAGGTCGAGAGACGGTAAGGTCATTAGCAGTCTAACTGATGCATATTCATAAGAAACTTTTGATGATTTTTTGCAGTTTATACAACACTTTAATCTTAATTGTGTATTGATGCAAGTTATTTGCCGTTGGATATTCCAGTGTACAACTAGAATAACATATCAGTACACTGATTTTTACAATTTATGTAGTTGCAAAAATTGGCATTTTTTTAAGGGGGGAAAATCATCGAATGACTGCTCCCGCCTGGGTGAGGGGGGAGGGAGTGTCAGACTCTTACTGACTAAAAACCACCCCGTTCCATCTCCTGCACGTCGAGCCGGAACCCCGGTTACCCGTAAAGTGTGTATGTAAGTATATGTAGAGGTACTAATTTAACTACAACAATACTGTTTCAATCTAGAGACAGAACACCAGACCCTTCGCTGCATTTAGCACTCGTCTCCACACGACCACCGAGACCAGTTAAGTCAGTTAATCATAATCCACAATTCATAGATTTTTTGCACTCACATCACCGATTCTCTAGATAGTGCACTGTTAATCAATTGGGTACATTTCCAGTTCGTTCGTTCATTCTACATTTTTTCTGAATCGTCGGTGTGGTTAATTAAAGAGACATGCTGTACATTGAAAAAGATTTCATTCAATGTGGTTGGTTTTAACGGAGGTTAGCTGTAAGGGTATACATATATGTACTAGATGAAGTTAGGTATCATTGAAAAATGTCCATTCGTGTTATGAATTTAGAGTTTAAACTTAGTTTTAGTAGTAGTCTCTTTTATTAATTCTATGTGTGATCCTAGCTGCTGCAGTTTTAGGTAAGAACCAATTGATATTACATATCTTATTGACCTCCTAAATATTAGCCGTATACTCACTAAAATATAACAATGGATCGTTAAGCTCAAACAATATTAATTAATTATCAAATGTCTTATT